TTCAGATTCTCTCCATCCTGGTCTCTGTGAGACTCGTGTACTGCTGTGTTACGTGATTGTTCACTTACTGGAGTAGTGAAGTGGTTTGCTGAGCATCGACCCTGTTTAAATAAGTTCTAGATTTTCATTTTATTAAGCACTGTCTGGGTTTTGCCACCACAATGGTGAATTATAATAGAACAGTTGACTGCCTGGTACCCCAGACCCCTGGAGGCCCACAAGGATGCTAAAACAGCACTTCAGTTTTGTTTATATAAGGTGGACTTCAGCTTTGAAATCTTGAGACTTTTTTTCTTCTGGAGGTTGGCAATGGCAGCCTTGGCTTCTTGCAATGTGTGATTCTTCACTTGGCAGTTGGGTTGCCGTTCAGGTCTGCGCATACCTTTCGCAGACCTGATAGGCAGCCCCACAGCCAATTGAAGGTGTGTATACCCATGATGCCAACACTGCTGCTAATTGCAAGGCAATTACTTAGGGCTGCTTCACACAGGTAAAAACAGGCAGTTGAGCTGTGGTTTTAATGCCCATCAGTTACTCACGTGGATAATTAGGTCCCTTTCACATGGGGCAGACTCTGTTTAGATCAGCAGGGCATCTGTCCACTGATCCCTGGTGATCAGAGCAGAGCGGGTGGATGACAGAACTCATAGAGCTCTGCTCTATAGGTGGTCAGGTGTAAACAGGCTGGTTCTCTGTTTACAGCTGATTGCCCTCTAATCTGCCTAGACAGAGGATCCCCTTCTGATTGTTTTTAGTGGACCGGATTGGAGGTAGGCGAGTGTAAATGGACACAAGTCCATTTACACCCACCAGTACATAGAGATGAATGGACTATCCTATCAGGTCCGCCTGAAAAACTGACAGGCAGAGGTGATCGGAACAGTTGTGTGAAACTGGCCTTAACATTGCAGTCTGACAGGGCTGTACACATGCCACAGCCATGCCATTTTCAACTTGGGCTGCAGAATTTGACAGACGTGGACACCTTCTCGATGAATTGCAGGTGAATAGTTATTTTTATTATTTATTTCAGGTACTTGTATAGCGCCGTCAAACATATTCTACATTCCCATCAGTCCCTAACCCTCAAGGGGCGTACAATCTAAGGTCCATAACTCACATTCATACATACACATACTAGGGCCAATTTAGACAGGAACCAATTAACCTACAAGCATGTCTTTGGAGTGTGGGGAGGAAACACTGTTCAACAGGTAAAAAGTTTTTGGGCATAAAATTAGCTAATCTTACATAATTTTGGGGTGCTGAAAACGAAAATGACCCTAAAAAATGTTGATTGGCTCTAGTTTCCATGATATATTCACCCATCTAATGACGTAAGCCATTCAAAATTATGATGCAACTTCAGCTGCATATTGCGCAATTGATACTGGTGACCAATACAAAATTGCATGTATACTGAGATGATGCAATATTAGCCTTTAATTGCATCACTTCACTGCATAAAAGCTGCAGTATCTGTAGCTGATTGTAGTTCGACAGCGTCTTTACATTTCGTTTTATGCTTATATAGGCTACTCAGTAATGCCTCGAACTTGTGTGAATAAAGCAGATAATTTCTGCTATATCTGCGGTGAAATAACTTTTATCTCACAAAAAGGAGGATAACAGGAATGATTAAGAAAGCCTACAACTTGTATTTTGGCTGCAAGATAGGAGACCAGGACAAGAGCTGGGCACCACATATATGCTGCAATTCTTGTGGGACGGCACTGGAGCAATGGTTGAATGGAAAAAAGGCATCTATGCCTTTCGCTGTGCCAATGATTTGGAGAGAGCCAACAGATCATGTTAGTAATTGTTACTTTTGTATGGTGCCTCCAATTGTAAAAGGGCTAAATAAGAAGAAAAAGTTATCTGTGTACTATCCAAATATTCCATCGGCAATACGTCCAGTTCCTCATGGAGAGGGGCTACCAATTCCTAAAGCACCAGAATCCTTCGTGGTTGAGTCAAGTGAGGAAGAACCTGAAGCGTGTAGTCACGTGCAGTTGTAAGAGATAGCCCTTTCCTCGAATACAAGAGAAAAGCCAAGAGAGCAAGCAAAAACCGACACAAACTGAAGACAAAACTAGTGAGAATCCTAAGTATTAAAATGATTCAACTTAGCTTATGGCTATAATTTTTCTTGGTAATCCTATGCAATATATTATGCCATTTAGGCTTTGTTATGTAGTCAATATCACTTGCTTTATATTTGTGGAAAGACATCTATCTATATAATTATTGTGCATTATGTAGTCATTACGCCTATAGTAGAAAACTTTCCGTTTACAGAAAAACTAGAGCCAATTGACAAATTTCATTGTTATATTTGAACTCAGAATGTGAAATTCATTAAGAAATGGATCCTTTTGTTTCCAAAACTGGCAAAAAATAAAAATTTGTTGAACAGTGAAATCGGAATACCCAGAGGAAACCCACACAGGGAGAACATGCAAACTCCATGCAGGTGGTGCCATGGTTGGGATTTGAACTGACGATCCTAGTACTACCAGACGGAAGTGCTAACCATCTAGCTACTGTGCTGCCCATATATAGTTCCGCTTGCTTCCCCACATCAGTTCAAATTTTTTGTTCAACTGTTTTTTTTTTTTAGTGCAGGTGTAAATTTGGTTGCTTTTATGAATACTTTGACACTCTGATAAATGAGGCCTAAGGCAGAAAAGTAAAATATGGCATGTGAGTGCAGTAACCACGCATACTGTTTAACTATCATGGTTCATTGCCAGGCTGCTCGGGTCCCAAACTGCCATCTCATAGTTGTGTAGGTTCATGTTTGTTCAGCTCCCACGTGGCTCCCCCCCTCCTCCTGGGTCTTTTCCAGCAGCTGTCAGGCCTGTCACCCTACACTGACTATCTTCAGCTGGGCTGCTGAGGACAACATTGATGTTGTAGGACAGGCTGTGCCTGCCAAACCAGCGCTAGGATCCCAGGTTATGTGAGAACCCACAATACCCACCTGTGTAATCTTCCCATCTATTCTGCTTCCAGCCTTGAAGATATGCTTGCTACCCTTAGAGAGATCTTGTTTCTTTATAGAGTGTGACCTGGAGGAGGGGGAACCCCCCCCCCCCCCCCCCCCCCGTACCTCGAACACAACAATAGCGGTTTGAGTTACTACACACCCCACTGTGCCGCCCTGATCAAAGGGGCATTCTCTTGTTTCCATGCTCCTAACTTTTATAACTATACTCGGTGGCCCTGACAGCAGCCCTATAGGCAGATGAGCAATAGACAGTGTTGACTTACTGACCTCCTCCAGCTAGAAAACAAGACGAGGGGAGGGATAAAGAGTTTTCAATCACCTCTTTGTGAGCAAAGGGCTCATCAGCATTTCGCAGAATGATACATTGTCAGATCTATAGGACGCCAGGGGGTTAAATCTTTCTTCTGGCTAAAGAATTTTCAAGCCATTGTCCCAAAAGCATGTGTTTGTGTGTGATCAGCACATACTGTGCACACATGGTAAAGGGGTGGTAGCTCGTGTAATGAGCCATGTTCAGCAAGGCCTGGCTGCATGGCAAAAGTTATGCACTGCTGTTTGTAAGGCATTAAATTCCACTGGCTGAAAGCTACAGATAAAATATGATACACACGGCCTCTGGTTTCAACCTGTGATATTCAGGGTTCATTGTATTTTACAATATGGAAAATAATAGTGTACTATATATTTTTAGTTGCTATTATTACATGTTTTATGTTAATAATTGTATCATTTTGTTATGTGTCTTTCAGTTTTTTTCGAATTTCCTCTTTTTGTTCTTATTTTATTCAAGTAGATTCAAACATACCTCACAATTTTCGGAGACGTGAAAGAGGGACACCTTTTAGCACAAAGTATACAGGCAAAGGACGCACCCAAGTTAGGCAAATTAATATGCAAAAAATGATTGGTAACACCAGGCTGACGTCATACAGCTTAATGTGCTGCTGGTGTGACATCAGAAGCGGAAGAGGAAACCCAGCTGGCGTGACATCTGGGAAATAGAGGGATCTCAGCTTAGCTTTGACATCAAAGCCATTTATGGCCTACCTACACCCCGGGACCTGGAGCAGTGGGTGAGGGGGGAGAAGATTCTGTTTGCTCTCTCTGTCAAGCACCTACATCAATAAGTTACATTTTAACAGTATACTTTGCACACCAACACTCTAGGCCAGACATGGTCAGAGCCTTGAAGAGCTGCTCACCCATGATCCATACCCAAGGGTGTTGTACTTGGTGAGCAGGTTCTCAAACAGCTTGCATTAATCTTAGAACAGAACCACCATAAATGCTCTCTCACAAACACCAGGAAGGAATGTTCATATCAGGGGCGGACTGACCATTCGGAAACTCAGGCACTGCCCGAGGGCCCGGGTTCAGTAGGGGGCCCCATGAGATGCCCCTGGTACCTTTTTCATAGGCTTTTTTGAGTTTGGGCAAGGACACAGGGGCCCCATGATCCCCTATTGCCCGGGGGTCCCATGAGTTGTCAGTCTGCCCCTGGTTCACATCACATGGTTTGTACTGGTAGGCCAACCAAAATCAAAGAATTCTGAAGATTTATTGGGACTGGAAAATGGATGTGGAGGGGAAGAAAATTGTGTTCCCCCCAAACTTTGTAGCTACAATAATCTGGCCAGACTCTGGTCTACAACAACCAAGCTGGCATATGTTGTGAAATTGACAGTACCATGGGAGGATGTGTTGAGGAAGCTTACAAGAGAAAAAAAGACCAAGTACTTGGAATTGACTGAAGCTGCTCAGAATGACTGGAAGATTTTTCCTGTAGAAGTAGGATGGGAGTGAGGGGTTGCTCCTTATAACAAGCAATCAAGTCCTTATCACATGCGGCACAGGAATAGCAGCAAATTAATCTGAATTGAAAGAAAAGACAAAAACTGGGATGGAAGATGAGCCAGGAGGGTATAGAAATGAAGGGGCTGTGCTTGGGGGTACCAGGTATCAAAGCTCAGCCCTCTTGATATGTTATGGGTTCATCCAGGGGTGGACTGACAACTCATGGGGCCCCCGGGCAATAGGGGATCATGGAGCCCCTGTGTCCTTGCCCAAACTCAAAAAAGCCTATGAAAAAGGTACCAGGGTCATCTCATGGGGCCCCTATTGACCCCAGGCCCTCGGGCAGTGCCCGAGTTTCCAAATGGTCAGTCTGCCCCTGGGTTCATCAACAAAATGCAAAAGAAGTAGGGTGCTTACCTGATGACCCCAGTGATGTACCTACTCTCTCCCTTTTCACCACACCAATCCCAACGTCATGAGTGAATAATTATTAAAGGGACTGACATATCAAGGCCTATTAACTGTATCTGGTAGAAGATCCTACTTGCTTCAAATGTATCTCTCCCTTGCTGGCCCAGAACACTGACAAACCTCCCTCACTAGCGAGGAAGCAGCAATGGAAGCGACATCTCACTTGCTAGTGAGGCAGCATCTCCATAGAAACAATAAAAAAGCAGCACTAAATGCAGGCTCTTTATTGCAAAACAGACACGTACAGTATCTTATCAGCAATAAATTACACTGACCTACAATGTCCTCTGAGGAATGTACATGGAGCTGTGCATGCATAGCTCCATTTACATTTCTTGCATAGTGCCAGTATACTCAGATGAATGACGCATATGTGGGTGTGACATCACCCACCATCACCTGCTCTAGCCAATCAAGATGGCCAAATACTGGCACTCAGCAGAAACCAGGCAGAAGATGCCGGGTCTGGTGAGGGACCACTGGGTAGGATTATTGAAGAATAGGTGACTATTCCTGTCTTTAGTTCCGCTTTAACCACTTGCCTACCAGGCACTTATACCCCCTTATTTACCAGGCCAATTTTCAGCTTTCAGCGCTGTCGCACTTTGATTGACAATTGCGCGGTCATGCAAGATTGTACCCAATAGAAATTTTTATCATTTTTTTCTCACAAATAGAGCTTTCTTTTGGGGGCATTTAATCGCTGCTGGGCACTTTACTTTTTGTGCTATAAGCAAAAAAAGTGCAAAAAAATTTGAAAAAAAAAAAAGGTTTCTTTGTTTCTATTATAAAATTTTCAAACAGGTAATTTTTCTCCTTCACTGATGTGCGTTGATGAGGCGGCACTGATGGGCACTGATAGGCAGCACTGAAGGGCACTGATAGGCGGCACTGATAGGCAGCACTAATGAGGTGGCACGGATAAGTGGCACTGATAGGCAGCACTAATGAGGTGTCACGGATAGGTGGCACTGATATGCGGCACTGAATGGTGGCACTGATAGGCGACGCTGATAATGGGTACTGATAGACAGCACTGATAGGTGGCACTGACTGACATCACTGCTGGGTACTGACTGGTGGCACTGCTGGGCACTGACTGGCACAACCGCTGGGCACTGACTGGTGGCACTGACTGGCTGCACTGCTGGGCTGCACTGATGGGCACTACTGGGCACAGGTAGATGGCACTTCTGGGCACAGGTGGTGACACTGCTGGGTGGCACAGATGGGCGCACTGCTGGGCACAGGTGGGTGCATTGCTGGGCACAGGTGGGGGTGCACTGCTGAGCACAGGCGGGTGGAACTTGTGGGTGGCACTGCTGTGCACCAATCATCAGGGCACTGATGATCAGTGCCGATCCCCGCTCTGACAACTGCTGGTTTTCGGCAGTACTTTCCTCACGATCTGACAGAGTGAGGAAAGTGCAGCCGAGAACCGGCATTTGCATTTCCCGATGATCAGCGTGTCATTGGACACAGCTGATCACGTGGTAAAAGGCCGCTGTGATTGGCCTTTTACCACGTCACATGATCAGCTGTGTCCGTAGGACACGCTGATCACCGGGAAATGCAAATGCCGGTTCTCGGCTGCACTTTCCTCACGCTGTCAGATCGTGAGGAAAGTACTGCCAAAAACCGGCAGTTGTCAGAGCGGGGATTGGCAGGGCACGCAGGAGAGCGCGTTCTGGGAGGACGTCATATGACGTCCACCCAGAAGTGGCCGGCCGCAGTGCAGCCGTCATTCGGCTATCTGCGGTCAGCAAGTAGTTAATTTCTAGGAGGTTGTTCCCAGTGACAGGATCTCTCACGTGACATCAGCCTAAGGAAACCCTAACATTTTCTGGAGGAGCCCTAGGGTTTCACAGAACCTTGGTTGAGAACGACCGGTTCAAACAAACAGGTACACCTTTCATCGCTACTTTTCCTTTATGGCAGCATTTCTAAATACTAAGTGCAACGATTTAAAGTTTTTAGGAAAGGTTTAGTATAACACTTTAACACTTTTTAAATGTATATTCATCAAACAAAAAAAAAAAAACCGAACAGGAACAGCAGGATTTCATTTTTTAAAAAAAAAAAACATTCTCCCCTCCAATGAGGGACAGTTGGGGGCTATGCTAAACTATTCATTCATTCTTACAGTTCATACTCAGGAAGGCAATAATCTGTAGATAAGTGAGTATTGAATGCAAGACAGGGTTGGCCTTTAAAGTGTTACTAAACCTACAACAGTAAAATCAGTCTGTATATGCAGTAAAGCATGCTTGTTATGCTCCCTGTGCTCACTAAGGGGTTAATCCTCTGCATTGTGTAAAAAGGCTGTTTGATTCTTTCACCTCTGTTCCTCCCCTTTTTCAAGTGATCACCTCTTATCTCCTGATAAGGCTCCATGCACACTGAGTGTTTTGATAAGGCTGGTAAAGTTAGCTGTGTAAAATCACTTTAAAAATGTGAGTTTTTTAGCGTTTTTGCATTAGCATTTAGCGGCTTTTTGCCACATTTCCGTCTTTTAGCATTTTTTGGTAAAAAAAAAAAAGGTCTTGTAATGTACAGCGCTGAGCGAACTATTGGTGCTCTATAAATACTGTATAATAATAATAAAGGTCCAAAAACGACGGTTTGTGGCATTGTACCGTGTTTTACCACGTTTTGCAACGTTTGAGCGTTTTTCCAGCTGAAGAACTCCTCTAGAAACCCAGTAGTCCTGTTTTTTTTTTCCAGCCAAAAGACGTCCCTGCCAAAAAAATGCTGATTACAGTCTGTGTGCATGGACACATAGGATAACATGCTGGGCAGTTTACTGACTGTAGATTGAATCGTAAGCATTTTGCACATGAGGTTTTTTTTTTTCTTGGGAGAGTGCATGTGATCAGCACAGGGTCAATCAGCACTGTCCAGACAGCAGTCAGGGGTTTTGCATCCTCCCAGAGCAGAAAGAAATCTCCTACTACAAGCTTTAGCTAGTGCTTGGCTGGACACTGATAGAAGTCACAAGACTGCTCTAACTTCTGATGAGAAAAGGTATTTAGCAGTTTATATTCACTAAAATAATTGCATTTCCATGTTGTGTGTACTGTGGGAGACCCGATAGAGTGGATGCAGGGTCCGGGGTTTAGTAACACTTTAAATATAAGGTAGTTCTGTAATCAGTTGTTCAAATTCAAACTCAAAGTTAATGTTTAGTCGGAAATGTCTCCCTAGCAGACTGGCACAGCTGCCAGATCTTGCTTTCTGGTATCTCTTGATGCATTTACACAGTATCTGTGGCTACCTGCATACCCTGTGCAATGGTGTTATTGATAGTGCAGATATTTGCTGTGCTGTGACAACCTGCTAAAGGACAACAGCTTTGGGTTCCAATGTGTAGAACCTGAGCAAAAAAGAAAAATGTTTCAGCTGTCATTGAATATATAAAAATAATTCTCCTTAAAAACAAATGTATCCTTTTAAAGAGGAGTAAGCTGCCGGTCACATTGGGTGCGATTTGGCATGTGATTAGCAGGCCTTGAAATTTCCAAATGCCTGCTCGCCAATGGCGAGTGGAAATTATGGTGGGGGCCAGTGTGTCTCCCAGGGTCGTCTTGCTGAGCAGGCTCGGAGCTTAGTCCGGCTCTGTCATTGGCACTGGGAGCCATTAGACTGCTCAATAGCTGAAAAGCAAAGAAAAGCACAGTGAAAACAAAGGAAGGAGTGTGTGCAGTACCCGGCTCTGTGAGTGAACAACGAAGTACTGCAACTTTTTTATAGGGTGTGTGTGTACATGTGATTGTGTGTGTATGTGTATGTACATGTGTCTGTGGGTATGCACATGTATGTGTTTGTGTGTGTATATATGTACATGTGTCTGTGTATGTATGTACATGTGTCTGTGCGTGTGTATTTCTGTGTATGTACATGTATCTGTGTGTATGCGTGTCTGTACGTGCCTGTGTGTGTGTACATGTGTCTGTGTGTGTGTATGTACATGTCTGTGTGTGTGTACAGGTGTCTCTGTTTGTTGGTGGCGAGTAACTCTTAAGACCTGGCTAGTAGCTCAGGACTTGAAATTTTAAGCCCTGTGGTTAGCATGCCAGACGACTTGCAAATCGTATGCTAAATCACACCCTATTGTCCACTATTAGAGCAGTCATATCGGTGCGGTTCCAACTTGGTCAGAGCCGCACCAATTTCTAAAGTAGTACATGCACTACTTTTGTTGCGATTTGCATAGACATTTGTGTTAGATGTCTTGCAAATCGCAAGGAAATCGGCAGGTCACCCGATTTTGAGATTGTGCGGCTTCACTGTAAGTTGTACAATTTCAAAATCGGCTTTGATGTGGCCGGGGGTGTAAGGCGGGGTTTAGTCCTTTACAAGTATTTCACTGCACACTCATCCTAAAGCTAATTATACATGATTGTCTGCATGTGCAGATCGAACACAAATTTCCCAACAGTCCCATAGTAGGAGTAGGAAAGTCGATCAATAAGTTGACTCCTCCTGACAGAGAATGGCCATAGATGGACTGAAATTCAGCTGGTCCCTGTTGAACTGGCCAAATTTCAATCCATCTATGGCCAGCTTAACCCCTTCCCGCCGGCGCCTCCTGGCCCTTTAAGAGTTTTAGACGCCGGGAGGTGGGATGGGTGGGGAGTGGTTTAGGGATCATGTGACCGCCATGATGCGTCGTCATGGCGGTCACATGATCGGGAAAGGTCCCAATCGAAAGAGCGGACTGGGACCTTTCCGTGAGTACTGCACACGTGTGTTGGGAGTGCGCAGGGCGCGCACTCTCAGCACATATGTTTTTTGTTACATGAATGCAAATGTGCGGCCGCTCGGCGTCTAGGCCCAGACGCTGGGAGGCCGCACATTTCTGTGCGGCCAGTGTAAAGGGGTTATAATGATTGTAAGCTTTAACGGTTTTATCTTTTTAAAAT